AAGGGTAACTAATTACATCTGTTAAAAGGGTGTGTCATACCTAGCAACGAGGTCAACCACACGTCCTCACTAAAAAAGTTCAAATTGCTCTAAGAATTTTTCTAAATCATTTTTAAGCCAGGACTCTTTGCTAAAAGTTTCTCGGCTAAATTAAGAGCTCACTAAGAGTGTTCTCAGAATACTGTATGTTAATATGGCCCCTGGTTTCTGGCTTTGTGAGAGAGTATATCATGTACACGATTACTGATTGAACTTTCCTAGGCCTTAAAAATAATACATTGGAATTCTTAATTTAGGGGGTGTTCCCCTTTAAATGAAAAGAGCCATCATTAATCAGTTACACCTGTACATTTCATGCTTCGAAAGTCAAAGTGTCTGAGTATGAATCTGGCTTTGAAAAACCCCCATCTAATTAAAATCTAATATACGGTATATTCCTGACCACACCCTCATCAAAGGAAACATATTTTATTGCTTATTTTGTCATTAGTTATGGAGCTCTTCAAGATTTGCCTCGCCAGTCCATCTTGACGGATTTCTCAATCACAAGGCAGTCATGAGCCCCATTCAGTAACCCTGAACCTCAGTGATCGTGTATTAAGATAAAAAGGTCACTGCTGGTTTGCATGAAGATCTCATGATATCAGTAATGAGGAACAAAGGCCAGGTGACATTTGGCTGATCAAAGAGGAGTGAGGTGGGTAGGTGACACATCCCATGACATGTTTTATGTGTGATAATGTGATGGGTGCCCTATCTGATGATGGATGAGTGGTGATATTAAGTCTTGCTTGGATATTTGCTGAGAAGACTTTCAGCAAACGCGAGCATGTGAGGTGAAATTTTATAGCTTTTCCTCCCAATTTTCCTCAGTCTCCCTTTTCAAGATTGGTCTAAGTCTTTACTGGATGTTATTTAATTCATTGGAATATATTCAGATACGCTTCTCTGGCAAAAGCAAATGGAAAAAGTCAGTGAATATGAAACCGCAAAACCTCATAAAACATTCCCAAATGGAAAAGATCGCAGATCACAGTGTATTCATGAGAAACAGAGGTTTACAGCTCTACCGGGCTCTGGCACCTGTTTTTTTTTTTTTTCTTTTCTCCTTCTCCCTCTTTCCATTCCCTCGTACATGACTAAGTCTGTGGGCTGCACTGGGATTTACAGATGTTCTGTGTTTGGAATCTGGGTAAAAGGTCACCATGCCGGCAAGAGATGGGAGTGGCCATTTTGGGAAATTGAACAAGCAGCTGTGGGGAGGTGTGGATGCAGTGATGATCAGTAACACACGACTGTGTGGTTTAAGAGTTTGAATGAGAGGATACAGAGAAGGCTGCTAGACACACCCATTATTGCAGACACTATACAAATAAAATTAATGTTTATGAAATCAATTTGTTTAGTTTGTGCTAGATCTATCGTCTACTTTGACTACAATGTGACGAGTAGCCTGTTGGTTCTCCTTGTTCTTGTTCATCTGTAATAATAATCCAATATATTACATATAATTAAATGATAATCTGACTATTATGCATAATTTGTTGGCTACTTCTGACAATTTAAGGAACACATTTTGTACTTAAAGTGGCAAACAACAAGTTTTTTGCTTTCACTTATCATTATGAAACAAATGTTGATTGTAAAATGTGATGGCTACAGAATAATGAAACCATTTGCTTTTAGATTAGTTCCATATAAGCCTCACTTTCACTATGCAATTCTGTCCGCCACCGGGTACAGTCTCACGGGAAAATGAAGGACTGATTTATGTAGCAGAGGAAGTGTATCACTGTGCAACCAAAACAGAAAGAGGATAATACTCTTGTTTTATTGTACATACAACATCAATACATCAGTTTGTAAGATATCTCATGAATCGATGAATGATGTTACATACTTAAGTTAAAAGTTTTGTAGGTTAGGTTTAGGAAAGTGAGGTTAATGTGGCAAGGTATAGGAAAATAATCATGGTGACAACGTACCGAAACTAAATCGAAGTTAATTTCGTTTCACAAGGGACACGGACATCAGTCTCTTAAGGGAAAGTCCTGTGTGGTTTGACCCATCCATCACCGTAACCTGCCCCCTTAGACGAACTTTCAATCTTTGTACTACTTCCGTCTTTTCTACCGTCAGTGCATTGGTCATGTGATCGCAGGGGGGAGTTGTCTGACTGATATTATGTTGTTGAGTTTTTGTTTTTGTTCAGTTCTGTCTTAAAGGTAAAGATGGAAATAAGCATGCGTCATGCCTTGAATTACCGTGCAAATCTGTCTTAGAGGTAATAATGGAAACAAGCGTGAGTCATCCCACAGTCACAAATAATAATAATTAAAATATCAAGCAAACTGGATTTGTCCGAGACAGTTTGACTAATGCATCCACGCACCACAAAATCAAGATCATCATTTCCCTGATAAACCCAAGGCTATTTTACACACCTACATTCCACCTCATCAGGCTTGTGTACAACCGGCTCCTCCAGACTGACACACAACTGCAATTTATCGTAACCACCACAGATATATTTCTGACAATCTTTACTGTTTCTTTAAAAATCTCAATTCTCCATTTGCCTGATATGAAACAGAAACAGAGAGCCACAAACGGAGGCCCGCAGCTCCTCTTTCATACCACCTCATTGTGCACCTCGCTTGTATACGTATCGAGTTCTGTAATGTCCCAGAAGAATGCAACAAGGCACGTACGTTCCTTACATGTGCTTTCATGACCACCATGTACCAGACTGTTGTCAAATTTAACTGTCACTGTATTTCTCTCAAGAAGCGGGTGTCTTTTTGAGATGCCATGTTCCTGCTTGTACCTGCTGCAGACAGACACCTTTCAACCACTTCACCTTTCCCCTAAATTAATCTGTTCCCGTTCAGTAATTATCCTGCTGTACTGTAACTGACAGGACATGAGTCATGACTGCAGTTGACACACACAGGTCTGTCAGCTTGAACAAAACTAAATCTGTTTGTATTGATGATGGTGCTCCTATCAAAAGGAAAAGACTGATCTAGAAATATCTATTTTTAACCAGAACACAGCAGTCTTTGGTTGTTCAGGCGGAAACCCCTCTCTGCTGAGGCTTTGAGGGAATAATGCATGTTTGTCACATTCCAGACGCTTAAATGAGGGCCCTGTAATTCCTCTGCACTGAGTTTCCCCTTTAGCACCGTCACAGTTACCTTTCACCTACTTAGTCTGGGCTGCAGACAGGAGAGGGTTAATCCAGTTCCTTTTTTCTGGTCTGGCCCTGGATCACGTACAACCTACAAGCTCCCCAGCGGAGGTTGAAAAAAAAAAACCATGGCCTTGCAATATGGGCATTCTCTGTGCCGTGAACTTTCCCCTAATTCTCACAGTCCTCATGGCCTCCCAGCAGTAGATCGTTGCCGAGGAACACCTCAGGCCAAAGTTGTACGCATGTTCCTCTCTTGACATACTCCACGCTGTCACTGACTTCATTCATTCATTCCTGAGGTTATCCCCAGAAAATTAAGAAATCCTGTTTCTGGCACTATTCATTGCCCATGCAGAGAAAATTGACTTCCGAGCTATTTGTGAATAAAAATTGCATTTTAAGGGATTGTTGTGAAGGCTTATGATTGTAATCAGCCTGATTAAATTAAAGGGAAATCAAGGAAATGATTCACCTCCATGAAAGGAAGCTAGAGTAACTGTTTTTTATAGCTAAATAATTTAATGTTGAAGCTGATTATTGACTAGTATTTTTTTCTTGTTGTGCAGATCAATTCATGTTTCCCAAATTTGCATGAATTCTTTCTCAGTCTTATGAGGAGACGGTGTAAAGTGCAGTTTCCTTGACAATACAGATTTGATTCACACAGACAGCACGTGATCCTGACAGGCAAAAAAAAGACAAGTAGGACACAGAAAATAGAGTAAAAGCAAGATCCATAGATTGAATGGCAATTAAAAAATATTCCATCAGTTTGGGACAATAAAGTGAGGTTACATAAGCGACTTTGGTTTAGGAGTTACAAATCGGAAGATCCTCCAGTCTGCAAGTATTCCTGAGCAAGACACTAAACCCCAAATTGCTCTCAGTGGCTCTGCATCCGTTTCAGAGCGTGTGATGAGCAGGTGGCACTTTTAGCAGCCTCGGCCACCAGAGTGTGAATGTGTGTGTAAACGGGTGAATGTGGCATGAAGTGTAAAAGAGCTTTGAGTGGTCGGAAGACGAGAGAGGCCCTTTACAAACGCAATTCCATTTACCATCACCGGACATGGACTAGAGGACCTTCCTTTGTGACTGTGTGAATAAATGACATGAAGAAGAAGCTCACATTCTCCCTTCAGATGGTGATGAGTCCGCTCTATAAAGGTCTGGGCTTCATCTTTCATGGGCATCTCTGTGTGTGGTCCACTTACAGCACAGCCCTTTGCAGCATTTGTCACTTTCATTTTTACTTTCAGGCCAGTTAAGGTTTACTTTAAATCAAGCCAGGTTAATGGAAATGACGTTTCCTGTTCTTTACAAATGCCTGAAAGATTTCTAATAATGACAATATTTGTGATATGTTTTAGACTCACTGTAACGACTGAATGAACTCTCCAAACAGGCAAACTCTCCACTTAATGAGCTTAATTTAGGATTCTGAGATCATTATCATTTTAAGGGTAGTCCCTGTGCTGAATGGATTAGCTCACTTACTACTACGCATACTACACCCTACTGTGTTAAATCAATACTTCACAATAAAGGAATAGATTTGTTGCACTGCTGGGGATATCAACTGTTTCATTTCCTCCAGTAGATAATGTGTCTCCCACTGTGCAGAGATAAAAGGCCAATCTTTTTGTTATATCACATCCCTCCTCTGCCTCAGACCTGAATAGCTAACAGAGAGGGGGAGGAGGGACAGAAACCTGAGAGTAACTGCACCCCTCCCTCTGCTCGGCTGGCCAATGGCAGGCAGTTTACAGCTCAGAGTTGAGGGCTGTGAAACTATATAACTGAGCTCTGACTGCTCAGTTTAAAGCTTGAGCTTACTAATCCAAGTCAAGAAGGACGAGCAGGACGCTGCAGACTTCTGCAACAAGAAATCAGGATACTTAAAACAAGTACTTCAACAGTTTAGGACAACGGCAGCAATGAAGACAACACTGGCAACTCTGACACTCTGCCTGGTGGCGCTCATGGCCACAGGTTTCCCTTTGGAGAGGAAAGGGGGCTCATCCCCCGGTGGTGCTGCCAAGGAGAAGCGTGTACAGTACGCTGCGTGGGATGATGTGAATGTCATTGCCCACGGCCTGCTGCAGCTGGGCCAGGGGCTGAAGGAGCATGTGGACAAAACCAAACTCCAGATGAGGGACATTTCCACCAAGCTGAAGATCTACAACCGCACTGTGACAGAGCTGGGGAAGGAGAGCCAGAAGCTGCATGTGGAAGGGGAGTCCCTGAAGGCTCGAGTCCACGGGCTGGAGGACAGAGAGGGGCAGCTGCTGAATGTCACAGCCGAGCTGAGGGAGAAGGCAGAGGAGATGCAGCAGGAGAGGAGAACGATGAGCGAGAGGATGAGCCGGCTGGAAGAGAGGGTGGACAGCATGCTGCAGGGTGACGCTTTGCTGCTTGACACAAACGCCGGTGCCAAGAACAACAGTGATGCACGCAACATCCAGGTGAGAATGCACGAGTTTCTGTCTTTGGCTGTTGATGATTATTTGTTTGGGAAGTCTGAGGGGAGTAAGTTAAGAAGGAAAATGAAACTAAATGAGGCTTTGCATTGTCTGCAGAACATGACTCATTTACTTCAAGATATTATTAAAAAGTACAAGATGTTGTTCTACTGCAGATGGTTTAAGGGACTCAAGTTGAGTTACAGTATGCATGGACTGTTGGCTTTTATGGTGGTCTTTTTCCCAGCTTAAAGGCACTAAATTGTAATGCACAAAGGGCAAGCGGGTGTAGTAGTGTAATGGAGTAGAGGGGGGTTGGTTAACAAGCTTGAATGGCGTGGAGGTAGAGCGTGCAGTACGTGCAGGAATATACTATAGGCTGCCAGACAAAGGGATCTGCACGCATCATCAGCTACAAGAACGTGTGAATAATCTTTCACAGCTGGAGCAATTTACAACCTGTAGAGTATTTGGCCATACGACACAGTGGAAGGGGCATATGAGAGCTGTGCTTTTCAGATCCCCGTCTATAAAATGAGCCTGAAAGGCTTTATAGTGGGATGGAAAATCCCGCGGTGTGAGAGAGTTACATAACACACCACAGCAGGGTGGAAAAGACAAATGCTTGTCTTTGAAGGGTGGAGATGTGTCTTAAGTTTCAATGAAACTGCAAGATGCCCATTTGTTGGGTTAATTCTGGTGCTTCTGTGGTGATGTAGATCTAAAGCACCACGGGCACATTTTACGCTCAGGCACTGTGTGCGATAAAGTTGATAAAGTGCTAAAATGTGGTATCTTTGTGTCATGTTTTTTGTCAGATGATGCTGGAGTCTCAGAACAAACGCATTGACGATCTGATGGAGCGGATCAGACTCCAGCAGGAGAAGCTTGACAAGCAGAATGTGCGCATCAGGACCCTACAGAGTCAGGTAAGGAGGCTTTACAATTAAGCTCACAAACGTTTCCACATCAGCGTAACTGTTGTGAAGTTTGTTCTTATTTCATCATATTTTCTGCAGTCTCATTATTGATTTAATTTTTTTTTTTCCAGGTCCAACAGGCACGACAGAAACCATCCCCGCAGAGCAGTGACACTGACATGCAAAGTGGCGTCGCCGAGCAAAGCGACTCACCAGCCGGTAAGTAAAGCCAGAAAGGGCCCAAAATCCTCTCCTGACACCGTCGTAAGTCGACTGAACAAAATCTGACGCCAAATGTGGCGGGCCATCTGTTGAGCGAGGCTAGAGAGAAGCTTAAATCACTAGCAATTAAAATCATGGAATCTAATCAATTTGGGACAGCTACTCTGCTCAGCGTGACACCACAGATATCAACTGGTGGATTTTTCTGCAGAAGCTGCAACCTGCAAAATCCTAATAGCATTATTCAACTAATACAGGACAGCATTAACACAATTGAACGAGTAAAAAAAGCAATTTTAAACTACAAATTAGGCATTCTACTTTGCAGATCTCAAATGTGTATCACTAGTTTTTATTTATAGCTTTATTTGAAACTCCTCAGGCTCAGTTTCGCCAGTGCCCCTCATACTGGGGCTTACAGTAATTGTAAAAGGCAGTAAATGATGCTCTCAGTGTGCAGCTATGCCAAGCAGCTGCTGCTCCCCTCTGAACTGAACTGTGACTGGACCAGCAGTCATAATGAATGCTTTCATCCAGACTGTACTTGGCTGGATACACACCAACTGGGGAAGAGTTGAGACACACTTTCAGCTTTCTTTCCCATCACACTCTGGTCTCACTTACAGTTTAGCCTACTAAGAGGACGAAAGGGTGATGGAGGATAATAAACAGAAATCTTTGCATACTGAAAGTGTACATGTATATAAATTATTAAACTGGGATACATTTAAAGTCAAACCTCTGTTTCTAATGGCCATAGATGAGAATTAGGTGAAAGGTGAACACGGCTGAGGCAACAGTTCAGACTCGTCAGCCATCACAATAACACCTCAGAGCTCTGACATCAGCAGGATTTGAAGAATGAAGAAAAAAGAAACAACCTTCTCTGGCAGGGTTTCAACTGGGGGAAAGTTCGCTGGTCCCTGAGTGTTCGCAGTCACACAGTTCAATGGGATTACGCACTCTGTTCTTTTCTGAGGGGTGTGTGCGGGTGTAGATGAAGGGAACCTGCAGGGCTTTGTACAAACGCAGCATGCAGTGTTCCTCAGATTCCTGTCCTTGTGTCTGAGCTAAGAAAGAAAAACAAGGAGAAACAATAGTAAAATGGGAGAAGGCAGCCTATATTTATCGGTGAACTTTGTACAGATATCCTCCAGCGTTTTCGTCTCCGCCCAACTTGTTGAGACGTCCCACCGTTTTGGGTAAAACAAGCAGTTGTACATCCCTCAAGAAGAATGACCAACCTTTCCCCTAGATCTGTCAGGGAGTCAGACATCCCTCCTCACCTCTCCTCCCCCATCCCTACACACAAGCCCTCCACCTCCACCTCCTCTTCCATTGTAATGAATAAGAAGTGTGCCAAAGTTCAGGAGAACCCCTGACCCCTGAGGCAGTCTACAGCCACAACTGGCCACCACGAGACCATGCCTTTGGAAGAAAGGTCATTACTCACAAATGAGGTTTTGTGGCTCTGCAGTCAGCTGGTGTGCTCACATTTAAACAATGTGTAGGCAAATATCCAACAAGAAAATACATTAAAAGCAAAAAAATACATTTTATTGTAATTTTAAAGATATTAAATAGCATCACTTGATGTTATGCGTGACAAAAAAAGGATTATTGAAGAGTTTCTATTGTTCTTGAGCCTCATTAGGCACATGAAAGCACCAATTGGCTCCAGAGTCCCCTGCTTTGTGTTACTGCCTTCTCTGATGTCCCTTTACAGCAACAGCCCCCTATCCCCCTTCACCACCCTCTGATCACTCCCCATGCATGCACAAGCCATGCACTCCTACGTCACCGACTGGCTGCTGTGCACGTGAGGGAGGTGTGATGAGCTGGGGGAAGAGGGGGGATCAGTGACAGGCAGAAGGGGGTTGAGGAATTTAAAGGGTAGTAGTGTGTGCAACTCAATAGCCTGGAAGGCTTAGCAGCCGTAAAGAGGGAAGTCTGCTTGGGAACCGGGAGAAAGGTCATATTTATACCCAAGAGTTCTCACTCTCAAAGGCTCTATCGGGTACACGTTTATATCTCGAGACTTAGTGATAAGCGCGCGTGGAACGATAGTCGTATTTGCAGACATGCAGTACTCGCAGTGCAGAGGAGCATGTCACTAGGAGGTTCCCTATGTTTGAATGACCTACTTATCAATGTTGGGTAAACAAGATTTCACTTGGCAGCGGACCAGCAAACTTTCACTCAGTTTTGCAAACTTCCATCACAATAACAGAGGTCAGGGGAGTAAAGGTGAAGGAAAACAAATCTGTTAAATGTGTCATGTATAAATAGAATGGTTAAGAGGGTAGTGGAAATGTGGGCCTTGGAGGTTTGGGAGTCCTTAAGCACTTAATTTCCTGCATTTTGATACATCTTTATGCAACAATTTGTGCCTCTTCTGCATCACTTAATGGCGTAAATATCTTTAATCGTATCAATGTAAAAGACAAATGCACATGTTCAAAATTTTGAGGAGGATGTGCCCCCTGTGTCTCCCCCGAGAATCTATGGCTTTGCAGTGATTCCATAAGGAGCTGGTTGTCTTAATGTTTTTCCCCTCTTCTTCCAGAGATGGCCTCAGACTGTCATGAACTGTTCCTGAGAGGAAAGACCACCAGCGGGGTTTACACCATCCAGCCAATAAACGCAGAGCCCTTTAAAGTCTTCTGTGAGATGACAACTGGTAAGTGGAGTTAAACTTTTCCCACAGGTTTTCCAACAACAGCTAACTATTTATACAATCAGTTATCAAGTTCAAACTGTTCAAAGTCTCCAAACTGCACAAGAAGCAAGAAACTTTCTCCTGATCAATCTATTCCTGTCTTTCCTTCCAGATGGCGGATGGACAGTGATCCAAAGACGTCAAGACGGCTCAGTGGACTTTGACCAGCTATGGCAGGCCTACGAAAAGGGCTTTGGAGGCCTCAATGGTAAATGCTCTTTCGACTTTGATCTCACTCTCACTAACTGGACAGGTGCAAGCCAGCCCGGGCCAGGTTCAGATTAGTTCACGCAGCATTACTGTCTTTTACAACAACTGCATCTGAGGGCAGGATCTGTCCCCCAAAAGCATCTTATCGCTGACAAGCTTAAAATGGATCAAACAGAAGTCAAAGCAGTGCCTCCACTCCGGATTGTTTACTCACCGTTTCTCGTCTTCTCTGTATCTTCTACTCTAGGTGAATTCTGGTTGGGGTTGGAAAAGATCCACTCCATTGCTAAAGATGGCGGCTACATCCTCAACATCAAGCTTGCTGACTGGAGTGGCGACATAGCATCTGTCCGCCTCCCCTTCAATCTGGGCGGAGAGGAGACCAAGTACTCGCTCAAGATTCAGAAGTCCGGCGCTTTCAGCCCCTTGGAGAGTTCCCTGGGGATGGACGCCACCTCCAGCTTGCCTTTCTCCACCCGTGACCAAGACAACGACCGCAAAAATGACACCAACTGCGCCAAGCACCTCTCTGGTAAGCTGAAAATGACAACAATCACAATGATAAATGCCTCTATTTGTCTACTTTCCAGTGTCCAATTTGGGATTAAGGCAGCACCTAACCTGATATTGTCATTTGTCTTTATAGGTGGCTGGTGGTTCAGTAACTGTGGGCGCTCCAACCTAAATGGCAGATACTTCCAGAGCCCTCCTCCCAAGCAGCGGCACCAGAGGAAGCAGAGCATCTTCTGGAAGACCTGGAGGGGCCGCTACTACCCTCTGAAGTCCAGCAAGATGATGATCGCCCCCGCTGTGATCGTGAAGTCATAAAGGATAGAAAGAGACAGAGAGAGCCTGGTTAATGAGGTAGAGGTTTCTGTTTTCCCTGGTTGTCCTTACACCAGAGCCTAGGCCCTCAAAATAGAAGCAAAAAGAACTCACATTTAATGAGTTTCCACTGCTCTGTTCTCTGAGGGACAAGTAGATTCCTCCCCTGCACCTAGAGCCACAGATGGAAAAAGAGACACTAGTAAAACGTGCAGTGGAAAGTTTTTCCACATGCTGTACCATTGCAGTTGATTCCCTCTGTTGGCACAAGGCAGAGGCCCCAAGCAGGAGAACATAGAGGGCGAGTCCCAGCCTGTCCACTGTGCTGTAAGCCGCAAAGGATTTCCAACAAGTAGAGACTCATCACCAGACAAGAGGTGTCAAGTGTGGGTTGTTGTTGAGTTTGAATGTGGTTAAGTGTCAGCTCAAAAACATATCAAGATTGGCTCTTATTTTGTAAAGGATGCATGTAAGAGTGAAAAGCAGGCTGATAAAGCACGCCTTTTAAACCCAATGTTGTGGACCAAATAACGACTTCACTAAAACAAAGAGCCATTTACGACATGAGCATGATGAGATTTGTGTTCAAATGCATTATGTAAAGTTAGAAATCACTGTAAACAAGGATTACGACGCAGAAACTGTGTTAAGACTGATGTTGACAAAGCAGTTTGTGGGGCACTGAAAACCATTCCAGCCTTTTGTACAATATATTTTCTGTCTGCAATTCTTAATCAAATTAAGCATATTCTTCACTGACTTTAATTTTTCTGTGGAGGTTTTTGACGACCTTAAGTCATATTGACTTATTTTAATACGAGAGGCATGGTTTTGTACATAGTGTATGAAGGAATGTCATCTTTCTTTTCAGAAATATATCTGTTACAGATTTGTTGTGACATTATCTGTTGTCTTCGTGACCTGAGAGTTTGTTACTGTAGATGTTCCCTTTCCTTATTTAAATGCTAAAGAATCAATATATATATATATTTCTGGTGCTGCCTGTTTGTAATTTATATTGTCTTTGTTGTGTTTACCAGATGTAAAATTGTTTTTTTTAAAAGACTTTAACCATTTTTGGGTCCACAGCGAGCCAATAAAAATGATTTAAACTAATATTGTCTTTTGTACGTGTATTTTGTGCCACAGCTTTGCAACAAATACAAGCTGAGGAAGTATACCAGCATCAAACAGTCGACTGACTGAAGCAAAAAAATCACAAATATTTCACAGAAGCAAATATAACATCATGATATTTCGAAAAATATGGCCACACGTAGAGTCAAGATAAGTCAAGCAGCTTTGTTATTATACATTTTGTCATATCAAAAGCAAGCCAGTTACCATGAAATAGAAATATGATGCAGTTGCCGATTTGTTTGCCATTAATGGTGGTAAAAAAAATTATTTAATCAAAAACTAAAAGTTTCATTTGTGGTTTAACTGAGAGCATAGAAACTCTAGTAAAACTGGCAGTATTTAAGGCCACACGCCAAAACGCATTTGTCTTACAATAAAGTTGTTCTACATACTACGTTGCTGAAGTTTCTACACCAGTGAGGGGACATTTTAAATGAGTTATAGATTGTTGCTTTCCATGTAAAACAATAAGTTTAATAATCCTTGGTTCAATGTAACACATTGTTTTTACCAATCTAACAAGATTGGAAGACTTGCTGGCTTACAGCAACTGCCCGGAGTCTGTTCAAGTTATGATGTGCAGTATGAAATTTAGTCTATCTCTAAAAAAAGAGTGTCATTATGAATGCTAAAGGCAAGGAGGATCAGAAGCAAAATGTTGCTTCGTTATTCGTGGCAGACTACGTGCTATATGTGGTGAACAAAGTGAGATGTTTGGGTCACATCATCAGGGATGGTCTATGTGATGATGATGACATGCAGCGCCAGCGTAGTACACTCTATGCATGAGATAAAAGTTTCATATATGTGCAGATGATGTAAATAAAACTGATTAAATATATATATATATATAACGAATAATGGCATTAACTAAGCCCACAAAAAGTGACACAGGGTGCTTTTGTTTTTGGAAACACTGGAACAAATGTCTGTATGTGTTTCAATGACTTGTGATCTGCAATGACAACTTTGTGTTGTCCTTGTATTATATTTTTATACTGATATGGACCTATGTGTCTGAAATAAAGTTTAATTTCTTTGGAAACCACCTGCAGGCCCAAACACAGCAGAAGTAACCCACTTCATTGAACCACACGTGGCGGATCTCTTGTATCTTTTTAGCAGCTTAGTGTTATAACGTGGAGGCAAACTCCAGGAGCTTCAAGGTGTCAGCTTGAATTTTTCACTGCACCACTTTCTGCTTCCCTGTCGAGCTTACTGTAGCTTCATCCCCACTGATCCTCCGAGTACTGACAACCAGCTCAGGATCAACCTCTGCAACAGCTGATCTGATGGAGTGTGCTCTCAACTGACCTCTCCCTCCAGGGTGTCAAGTGTAGTGAAAGTCAACGCCTGGCTGCAGCATAACAGGTGATTTGAAAACATGGGGACAGCATCTGTTATCTGTAGAGAATAATGTAAGGCAAATCAGCTTACTTACTCAGCAAAACTCTTGCATTTCATAATTTCCATATTTAAAAAGTTTTCTTAGAATAAATAGTTGGACATTTTGGGAAATATGCTCTGGCTTTAAGTTAGCGCCGAAGACTGATACCAATGTCAAGTTTGTATGACCAGTATGGCCGTTAGCTAGCAGCCGGTTACCTTAGCTTAGCATACGTTGCGAAACAGGGGAACAGCTAGCCTGTCTTTGTCCACAATTTTTTGAAAAAATAAATCCTACCAGCACATGTTAACCTCGGTTTAATCCGTCCAAAACAAATAAGTGTAAAAACGAAAAGTTATGGTAATTTTTCGTGGCTAACAGTAGCTGCCATTAGACGTAAACGCGACGATGGGACCCGCCCACTCTCCCTCTGATTCGTGGTTAGGTTAGGCAAGAGGAGTATGATTGGTTATTGTAAGGGTAGAATGTCAGAGTAAGCCAATCAGAAGCAGAGTAGGTCGGGTCATGCTTAGATAGCTAGATAGATTATGCTTTTCCACCACTAGATGGCACATAAACATGTCCACAAATGAGGACAACAGCATGGGTGTAGCAAACCTAAAACATAATGTCCTCATATGAGGACGCAGGGTCACAAGAGGATATTCCACCCTGGATATAAATATATAGATAGCAATCTGCACAAGGGGTGATCAATACCACAAAATTTGTATTTGGTTTCAATCTAACACCAGGTAATACAGGGCCAGAACGAATGATATCAATACCTATACAATACTTTTTATTATTAAAAGTGGCTTATGTTCTTTGATGGAGGGTCAGTGTGTCATCATTTATTAGTTAAATAATCAGTCTGCTAAAGTTACAAGTTACAGCTAATGATGACCAGTTACAGTTTGAAAATGTATCATTAACCAAAGCTGAAAATCTGTTTTGACTAAAATAGTAATTTTACTACAATATACCTGGATATCCCTTGCCCAAGCCTCTCTGAACAGACAATGCATCTGTGTCTGTGTTGGGGGTCTGGATACTGAGGCATTGTCCTTCTTCCTTCTTTTCAGTTGCAGTTCTCCTTTTTGTACTTTTTTCCTCTATCATTAAGCCACTGCAATTATGTGTCAGATTAAACTAGTCAGGGTGCACACCACAGTGTTCTGCATATGCTGTTTGAATGCAGACAACACAAAAGCAATGAAGAAGCAAACAGTGCATGCACTAGATATATTCACCAAAACATAACATTGTTTGCACATACAGTTTTACTCTTGAAATACACATAGGTACAACGTAGAAGAGAGAAACTTATCCCTTTCCTGTATCAGTCCCATTGACGCTAGGAATGATCTTCACATTGCAAATGTAGTATTTATAGTATCAATATTTTGGTATCAATCCGCCCCTAATCGCACTGCTTCTGGCCAAGAAATAGTCCTCCTTTACTCACATAAACAGTAAAACCAAGTAATGTTTTTACATTTTTTTTTTTGAGAGCTTGGTGAGCTTTAGAGTTTCTGGAATACAGATTTTGTCATCTAGGGCAGAAGTAGCTTTATGTTAAACCTAGTTATAATCCAAAATGGGTGGTTGGTGTCTATAATTTCCTCCTCAGTCTCCTCCTCAGCTGATACGTCTTCTGAGCACTGAACATCCTGCTCTGCTGCTGGGATCTGGGGTTTTTTCTGTTTCTTGAAGTAAGGAAAATGGTCAAAAATGAGAAGATGCAAGTCCTACTGTCTCACACAAAGGATATGTTAAAATGTTTATTTAGAAAGGCTTAAAATTAACATACACTTAAAAAAATCTTAATATAATACATCTTCATCCTCTAACCGCTTCATCCTTTTGAGGGTTGCGGGGGGCTGGAGCCTATCCCAGCTGACATCTGGCGAGGGGCAGGGAACACCCTGGACAGGTCGCCAGACTATTGCAGGGCTGACACATAGAGACAAACAACCATTCATGCTCACAGTCACACCTACAGACAATTTAGAGTTATCAATTAACCTAGTCCCCAATCTGCATGTCTTTGGACTGTGGGAGGAAGCCGGAATGCCCGGAGAGAACCCACGCTGACACGGGGAGAACATGCAAACTCCGCACAGAAGGGCACCCACACCCGGGATCGAACCGGGAACCCTCTTGCTGTGAGGCGACAGTGCTAACCACCGCACCACTGTGCCATCCTAATATAATACATTTAAGCCTCTAATAAATAAATAGAAACAAGTCCTTATGAAGAACAGAAACAACATATCTAGCTAAATTTGATCACTTAGCCCTCTTACTGTTCGCAATTCCCCCTTTTTAAAGAAGATATAAGATATGCTCACACCCCCATGTACATTACATCCTATGGTTACATCAGCAGACAGCTCAGGATGTCCTTTTCATAGCAAATTAGGACTCAAAGATGTTTAAACTAAAGGTACTGAATACTGAGGCTGAGCCACAGCAGGCTTTCGTGCTGCTTTATACTCAGGTGGTGATTTTAAATAAGGCCAGCAGATTCCCATTACATGATCTCTGTGGTGTTATCAGATCAAGGTTAGGCATCACTCATCTCTGAGTACCCTATTATTAAAGGGTTACCATGGCAACTGTGGGCCGTCAAGCATCCGTTGCTTCACTTGTGCAAAGGTGTGGAGTGTTTGAAAGCCCATGTTGCGGCAGTGGTGGAGCTTTGATCAGTTGCAGCTGACGTGAATTAGAGGACAGGAGGTGATGGGTATAATTAAAGGTTAGAATGGAATATTAACATCAGGTAAGAATTATTACCTTGGATGCCTCCACAAAACTAGTTACAGTTTTCATCCACGTTTGTTCAGACTCCTATGTAGTCATGATGATTGACAATGCTTCAAATAGGGATGATGGGAACTGTATGACATGTAACAAATCATCTATGCATTGAGGTTGCAAAGACCAAAATTTGTAAAAAGGTGGAGTCCTGTTATGAATTTGTTAATGCAGTAAGGGAACTCTAAAATCCATATCCCCCTTCTATTCGTGCTCCACTTTTATTATTTTTTATTCCCACTTTTTACTCATGAGTGCACATGTGGTCAAACAGGTATGTTTGTCTGTACACATATACACATTTATTTATTTATCATTATTATTGGGGTCTCATTTCCTTTCTTTTTCCTCCAAAGTTTGAATCTCAGGTACATCTTGAACACTTCACCGTAGTTGTCTCAAACCTGGATAGACAAACTACTATGTACTATGTGAGCTATGTAAAAACTGTATTGATTGTATAGAATGCTTAAGTTGAAATAAAAAATGAGTTGGAAAAAAAGTCATCACTCCATTATCTTATCTCTGACATCTGTGTGAAAGTTTGTCATTATTAGCATATGAATTCTTCAGTTATGGCCACGGTGACCTTGACCTTTGACCACAAAATTCCTATTAGTTCATGCTTGAGTCCAAGTGGACGTTTGTGCCAAATTTCAGGAAATTACCTCAAGGCCTTCTTGAGATATCGCATTCATAGAAATGCGGTGGATGCAAGGTCAAATTGACCTTTGACCATCAACATCAAATCAGCTCATTGAGTACACGT